CTAATATACGTCTTCCAGTCCGAATTAAATCTTACTACAGGTAATGTGTCTATTTTTTTGGCAAGTATTAGTTTTCTATCGATAGATAGACGCTAGGATATGTCAACACCATAATTTGGTATATTTCCCGTTTTTGTAATGGAAATTATGTAATTTATATTTTGATTATTATGTCTTATATTTAAGATACTAACAAATTATGTAAAATTTGTCAAGTCTAATAATTTTTCTTTATATATATTATACATAAATATTATATATACATAATATTATATATATATATATATATATATTTATATATATATATTATATATATATATATATATATATATATATATATATATATTAATATATATGTAATTATATAGAGTAAATCATATAGAGATTATATAATATAAGAATTATATATATAGTATAAATATATATATATATAGTATATAGAGGACATTATATATATATAAAATATCATTGATATATATATAGATATATATATATATATAGAGATATTATATATAGTGCATAAGATGGTGATAGTATATCATTAGAAGGTGGTGAGGAGGATTCATGTGAAGTGGGTGAAGGGAGGGAGGTACAGTGAAGGTGGGCATGAAGGAGGGACAGTGTCATGTGAAGGTGGGCATGAAGGAGGGAGTGTCATGTGAAGGTGGGCATGAAGGAGGGACAGTGTCATGTGAAGGTGGGCATGAAGGAGGGACAGTGTCATGTGAAGGTGGGCATGAAGGAGGGACAGTGTCATGTGAAGGTGGGCATGAAGGAGGGAGTGTCATGTGAAGGTGGGCGTGAAGGAGGGACAGTGTCATGTGAAGGTGGGCATGAAGGAGGGAGTGTCATGTGAAGGTGGGCATGAAGGAGGGACAGTGTCATGTGAAGGTGGGCATGAAGGAGGGAGTGTCATGTGAAGGTGGGCGTGAAGGAAGGACAGTGTCATGTGAAGGTGGGCATGAAGGAGGGATGTCATGTGAAGGTGGGCGTGAAGGAGGGAGTGTCATGTGAAGGTGGGCGATGAAGGAGGGAGTGTCATGTGAAGGTGGCGTGAAGGAGGGAGTGTCATGTGAAGGTGGGCGTGAAGGAGGGAGTGTCATGTGAAGGTGGGCATGAAGGAGGGAGTGTCATGTGAAGGTGGGCATGAAGGAGGGAGTGTCATGTGAAGGTGGGCATGAAGGAGGGAGTGTCATGTGAAGGTGGGCATGAAGGAGGGAGTGTCATGTGAAGGTGGGCGTGAAGGAGGGACAGTGTCATGTGAAGGTGGGCATGAAGGAGGGAGTGTCATGTGAAGGTGGGCGTGAAGGAGGGCAGTTTCATGTGAAGGTGGGCAGTGAAGAGGAAGTGTCATGTGAAGGTGGGCGTGAAGGAGGACAGTGTCATGTGAAGGTGGGCATGAAGGAGGAGTGTCATGTGAAGGTGGGCGTGAAGGAGGGACAGGTCATGTGAAGGTGGGCATGAAGGGGGAGTGTCATGTGAAGGATGAGGCATGAAGGAGGGGAGTGTCTGGGAAAGGGGGGCATGAAGGAGGAGTGTCATTTGAAGGTGGGGTAAGGAGGGGGTGTCAGTGAGGTTTGAAGAAAGGGGGGTCATGTGAAGGTGGCGGAAGGGGGGGAAATGTCATGTGAAGGTGGGCTGAAAGGGAAATGTGTGAAGGGGGCATGAAGGGGGACAGTAATTTGAAGGAAGGGAAAATTTATGTGAAGGTGGGGTTTAAGGAGGACAGTGTCATGTGAAAGGGGGCATGAAGAGGGAGTGTCATTGAAGGTGGGCATGAAGGAGGGGTCATTTGAAGGGGGCTGAAGGGG